TAAGATGAGCAGGTCTAAATGAAATTGTAGAAACTAGGAACGAATCCATATGCACCAAACGCCTTCCGAAGGTCTAGAAGGACCCACGGGCTGGCCTGCTACACTACCCCGCACTCCCTGTCCCCACCGCTCCGGCCTGCCCTCTGTGCTTCAGCTCTGCCAGGCTCCTTCCCTCCCTGGTGATCTTGCCTTTGATGGTCCCTCTGCCTGGAACCTCTGTGAGATGTTCATATGGCCAACTCCCGGTCATCCACAAGGAGTCACTCCTCCAAGAGGCCTCCCCTCCCCACCCCAATCCCTGTTTATCACCCTGTTTTATTCTCTTTGTAGTTTCTAGCAGTACCCCCAAATTATCCACGTTCCTTGACTGTTTCACCCAGGAAAATATAAGCTGTTATTCTTGTATCCTCAGAGCCTATAGGGTATCTGGTATGTGGCAGGTGTTCAACAAATAGTTCTGAACAAAAGACAGAGGGAGAAAGGGAGGGAGGATGGGAATCCTGAGGTGGGAAGCTCATGATCAAGGAACTCAGAGAAAGCTGAAATTCCAAGACAAAAGGGAAGGGATTTACTGGGAAACAGGAACAGATCATTCAGATAAATTTCTATGGGCCTTAGTCAAGATTTTCATCTGAAGATTAAGACCAATGAGAGGGTCACTGAAAGGTTGTAAATCAGGGGTAATATGATTAGATTTAAATTTTTAAAAATATCACCCTGGATTCAACATGAAAACTGAGTTGCAAGGGAGCAAGAAAGGTTAGGAGCTTGGAGGCTGCTGCAGTGGCTCTGACAAATGAGCCACTGAGGTGTGGCAATGGCTGTGGCAATGACGAATAATGGCCTGTGGGACCTCTGATGACTTTGAGGAGGGAGAGAGAAGGACACAAGACAAGGCAGACTCTAGATGTCTAGCTCGCTGGCTGGTGGAGCAGCATTCACCAAAATACTAGAATCTGGTAAAGGGTATATTTGGGAGGGAGAACGATGAATACTGACTGGCTTGGGGGTGCCTCTGAGACACCCCAGTGAAATGTCTAGTAGGTAGCTGGATATATGGCTCTGGAGTTCAGATGAGAGGTCTGGATTGGAAGAAAACAAAGATTCAAGAGATATCATGAAACAATAAGACTACATCAATGTCTAAGGAGGTAGGAGAAAAAGAGAGAGAAGTTTAAATGTTCTACAGTTTCTGTTATGGGTCACTATGAGAATGGTGGTGCTGCTGATGGAGCCCTGGATACAGCAGAAATGACATATTTGAAGAACCCTAAATCTGCTCTGAAATCGCACAGGAGCCAGCAGAGCTACTACAAAAGAGTATGATTGGTTGTGGAGGGGGTGCTCAAAGCATTGGAGAGAAGTGTTTCAAGCCAGGCTTACTGGGAGGTGCTGGCTATTAAATTTCTATGAGTTGAGAAGTCTCACCAGGCCAAATGACGACATTCTCAGCTTCCCTTGTAACTATCTGTGGCTGTGCAACTAAGTTCTAATAAAAGACAGAAACAAGTGTATGTTCTATCTGGGAGTATTTCATTAAAAGAGAAGAGGACGTATTTTCTCCTCCTCCTTTCTCCACCCTATTGCTTGAAGCATGGATGAAATGGCTGGAGCTTTCGCAGCCTTTCGGTCCATGAGGATGAGGGCCAAATCCAAGAGATGGTAAAGAAATACCCTAGGAAGCGCCTGACAATTTCATGAAACTGACATACCTCTTTTGGGATTGCCTACTTTCAGACTTCTATTAAAAGAGAGAAATAACTATCTTATTTAACCCACTGTCATTTGAAAATATTCTGTTGTATGCAGTGAATCCTAATCCTAATGGGGACACTACCGGCTGGTCTACCATGTCCCCTGCATTGTTTTCCCCTTACTTTAGGTCATGCCATTGCCTTGATAGCGAATATCCTCCTTCTTGCTTATATTTATTTAAATCCTGCCCATCCTTTGGAGGATGGATCAAATTCCACCTCCCACACGAGACTTCCCTTCCATTTCCTCCCTGGACTGCCTGCCCCCACTCCTTGGGCATCTGGCCTAAGCTGCCTTCACAGTGATTCATCCCTCTACACTTATCTCCTCACTCCTCAAAGACATTCAGGACCATCAAGGGCAAGGTCCATATTTTCCAGGTCCTTGCATTCCCTGGGCCCAAGAGGCATTCAATATAAAGGTCACGATTAATGTGCCTCTTTCACCTCTACCTGCAGCCAAGATCAAGAAGGAGTCAGTAAGTATGTAAATAAATTCTGAAAATGAGAAGGTAAGCAGAGTTGAGGGCAGTTTGTGTAAGAAATCTAAAACTACTTCTAATATCAAAAGGCAGATTGGGAGAAAGACCTGACATGCCTCCTTCAAACTATATAACAGATGTTTGACTGCCATACAGTTAACCTGGCAAGGGGTACCATTGTTATAAAAACCAAAGTGAATGGCAGTCCCCAGAGATGTAGAGCCATGGCCCCACACATACAAAAATGAGCCCCTTCAGTAAAAATAACAAGTTGTGTGAACCAATGTATTTTCACATAACACACTTGCAATATAGTCTGCATAAATCAATATCAATAACAAATTACTTCTGATTACTCAAATAAAAAGTATGCTTCAAACATTCTAAGAGCAGATTCAGATCAAAGTAGTTTGCAACTGATATATTTCATTTGTAAAGGCAGTTTGATTTTTTTTAATTATCTTTTTTTTTCACCTTATTGTCTGCCACAGAAACTGTTAAACCCACTCAAAAAGGCAACAAAGGCCCAGAGGATTCACCCCCATCGGAGCCGAAGTTTGTAACACGTCCTGACCCATCAGGAAGATGTCAGCAGAGATAACCACACTGGGGAAGCTGAAATGGAAACTTCTAACTTAATTTATAAACCCAAGTCCAAATTACCCCAGCTTGTTTAAGGGCATGTCCAGATTTCCTCGAAATGCCCTTATGAGAGCTGAGAAGGCAGATGCAGAAGAGAATGCACGCTCTGGGATGCCCACAGTAAACAACCATGATTAAAAAAAAATCATCATAAACAAACCCTAGAAGATGAGCTTGGCACAGAAAGAGCCAGTTAAGAGATAAGCTTCCTGATGGAAATAACACTAGTGCCTGAATGAGATCTGCTTCTAGCATGGAAATAGGGCTGTTCACAACCGGGGAAGATGCAGAACGCAAGTCAATACAGACCACGAGGAAAATAGTATTGCTTTCCTTCCGCAGACAGTCTGAGCACAGTTTAGATAGCTGCTCTTCTGCCGCCTCATTTCTGTTGAAACTCAGCTGGATTTCAGTATGCCTGCCAAAACTGCCCCCTTCCGGGCCTAAAGAGTCCAAGATTCCATGCCAACCCCGCATGGCCAGATGCCACCTGGGAACCGTGCCTGTGGACACTGCTTGGCCTCAGGGAAAGCCAGCTTCCCAGGCTGACTCACCACTTGTGACCATCAGGTGTCAGTGCTGAGTGAGGAGACTCCCATCCTGAGTTTTCATGTCATTTCAGCAGACCGTGAAGGGGGAGACACTGGACAGCAGTGGCTTAGGGGACAAGCAGCACTATATCACATTCTCAGGCCCTCATGAGTGTTTCATTTACTTGGTTGACAACTCACCATGCAAACTCACCATGCAGCTTCTAGGAGGTTTTAATTCAATATCCTTCATACACTCAGACAAAAGAGTAAGGACTGCTTGCTTCAGTAAGGACTGGGCCTTGCTTTTCTGCCCCCAAGGAAAGTGGAAACATAAAGCAGGGCTTTCTTCTTCTCACCTATCCTCCACATAAAAACTACCAAATGACTATTCCAGCAGTTTCTCTTTACCCTCAGGTTTGAGATGTTTCTTCGTAATGCTTCAGTGGCAGCCTGAGTGCTATCAGGTGCGGAGCCCCTAGGGGGCAAAGCCCAGCAAAGAAACCAGATTGTGCAAAGCCAGAACCAAGGGCCACTTCACCGCCTGCTTTGCTGAGCTGGATCTAAATTGGTTTCTTTCATCGGGTATAGCATCTTCAACAGAAATATTGGACTTATGAGTAGCTGCAGCCACATTGAAAGCTGTACTTTATTGGTCTTTTAAACCCAGGACAGCAGCAAAGCACTGTCATTCTACACCTACTTCCCTCTCCAGGCTGAGAACACATCCTTTGGAACATGGGACTGTCCGAGCCAGGCTCACTGTGTCCTCAACACCAAGCTTTCCAGGGTCCATGTTGCCATGAAACACCACCCAGCCACCAAAAAGAATGCATCCTATTTACCTCGGCCTCTCCACAGCCAGACACAAGGCCCCCTGCTGAGCACGCCCTCCCCTCTGAGAATTTGAGGTGTCTAGCAGATGCTTCTGCTGCCAAATATTCCCTTAACTAGAGCCTGGTTTCCAATTTCTTATAAGCAAACATGCTGAGGACATAGGAGAAACACAATCTTCTGGATGAAAGACTCTCTCAGGCTCACTGAGAGTTTTGCAAATAGCTTCAAGTCTCCATCTAGCACAAAGAAACCCTCAAAGGTTTTGATGCTAAGTGGCATTACTGAGTCCCAAGATCTGGAAAAGCAGTCTTGTAACTGGGAGACCAAAAGCTGGCCCAACTATCCCTGGGACAGCCCCACTGTCACTGTAACAGAAAGAGCCAGGACATTTCTGGAGAGAGACAGCCACCAAACCAAAGATACCAATTGGATTGAAGTTCCAATGGGGTCTACCCAAGGTTTTGCCATTATGCCACCTTTATTGCTTGTGTCCACATTTCTTGCCTCGCGAGAAGCATTGAACTAAGTGACAAGGAGGAACTCAAGGGCATTTCTCTAGGTAGAGAGAATGTACAATGACACCCAGGATCTACTGTCCGACTCCTTTCATCTTAATTCATAGCCCTGTCGCATTCCACCCCACGCCAGTAACAACTTCCAAGCTTGTGTCTTTTAAGAATAAGTGCTTCCAGGTCTGGACTGAAGAACATGTTACAGATACATGACAAGCTGTGGAGCAAAAAAGCCAGTCTCACCGTTTGTTGATGATGAGAAACAGTGACGGATGTTGCCTGAGGAAGTGCTACAGTTCTGCCAGAGGTCGGTTGCGTGTCCATGGCCTACGAGCCATTGCTAGAAAGAACCAGACATCCTAAATCAGGTGAGGTAGTGAGGAGTGAGAGAAAGGGAAGAGAGAAGACCAAGGGAAGGTGAAGAGCAGCCTCATCAACCTGTCTACCTGGCATGCCCCTGCCCTACCCAGTGTTGCCCAGCCAGGGCCACAGTGATACTGGGGAAAGGAGAGAGAGGGTGGTCTGGCTCACACATCGTGTTGAGGGAAAGGCCAGTGTTTTGCAAGTAAAAAGCACTTTGTAAATGGAAAAGTACCACGTGCACATGTTATTATGTACAGAGGTGTGTACGATAGTAGAAGGAGCCATGGACTCAACCCAGGACACCTGCATTCAATAGCCATCTCTCCTCCCTAGATTTCCTGGGTGTCATTCCCCAAGCCACCACCTCTCTAAGCCTTTTTGCTTACTTAGAAATCCTATTAACCTGACAAGATTATCAGGCCTATTAAAATGTTATAAAATGCTTATAAATGATAAGCCTTTATCATTTATAAATCCCAAACATAATTATTTCTTGCACTGACATAATGATTGCTCAGTCTTTGAAACAGACACGTATAGCATATCTGGGACTTGCCTTATATTAAGTTAAAGCCACAGTCACCTAACTGCCTGTGTCTGTGCTCATCTTCATAGTAAAAAACAAACAAACAAACAAACCTTAAAATCGAATCTACTTGATGCTTGACCGTGTAACTCAAGTTATCCTGATGGGCTGTTCATATAGTGGAGACTTTACTAAGAAGGTGCTGGGTCCACTTTATAAAGCAGACCTGGGACTGTGAACTCTTCTGAAAAAGCCAATTTTAACTTCCCAATTTCAAGTCCTAACGTGTGTTTTATGAACTAAGCCGACCATCTGATCTATGACATTTGGAAAAAAGCAAACCTTCACAAATAATCCTTTTCCTTTTTCAACAAACCCACATCAAGAAAAAAATGCTAAACGATTTGATCAAATGAAAGTCGGGGGGCTCTGGAACTTCCCTGAAATTACTGGGCTTAAAGAGAGGCCTGTGCAGCTAAACTAGTCCAGCGATTGCTTTCTTCCTACTCCTGAATCTGCTGTGGTTTTCTCAAAACTGAAAAGGGGCAGATTGCCAGAAACTGCAAAACGCCCTGGGACGTCTAGGACTTCTCGTCTGCAAATAACCATGCAGCCCTGAACTAGAGGGGGCACAGATAGGATCGCCGCCCGGAGGCCCCCAACCCCCCACCCCACCCGGAGCGCTGGGTGCCCCGCCTGCCCCCGCTGCCCGCCGGGCACTCACACTGACGATCGTGGAGACGAACAGCAGCACCAGCACTGCGATGTGGAGGACAATGATACCCAGCAACAGGAGGAGCATTCTGGCGGCAAGTTCTGCTCAGCGGAGTTTCTGCCTGCCAAGAGAGAGAGCGGAAACTGAACCTGAGGCGGACTCTACTGGCCGGAGCGAGCGAGGGCGGGAGAAGCGCGCAGGATGGGTCCCAGTGCGAGTGGAATGCTCGGGACTGGCACCGCGCCCGCCCGATTCTCCCGGGTGGGGGGCGCTTCACGCTGGTCGGCTGGCCGAGAGGGGGCAGCAGCTGACCGTAGGATCCCCACCCAGCAATCAGCCGGCCCGCCTGCGACAGAGCATCTTTTGCTTTTGGAACAAAACAAGTGGTAAGTCAACCCAGTAGTAGGAAAGGTTTTTCCAGAGGGACGAGCAGAGGCCACAGCCCGCCTCCACCCACCCCGGGCGCCTCCGGAGACAGCCCAGCTTGGGGAAGAGGGCAGAAGGGGGAGAGCGCAAGTTCCCTTTTGGAGTGGAGGTAGGAGCGAGGGGATAGACGCCCAGCTTTCTGAGAGAGGCCTGGGGACGCCAGGAAGCAGGCTGTGAGGGAGAACGCGCGGCCGGGAGCTGGTTTCCCAGATCCCCGCGCGCTCCGCATTCCGTTAGTCTCCAAGTTTCCACCCAGTTCTGCCAGCGCCGGGGAGCCGTCCTACACCCAGCTCAGCCTGCCAGAGACACTGGTGGCTCCGGAGAGAGGCTCAGAGCCAGGGGAGTGTGGGGAGGAAAGAATGGCCCGAGCGAGTTTACGAGGACCCTGCTCTTCCAGCCTACTGTGCGCTTAACCAGGCAGCCACTGCGGGCGGGGCCCCCACTCCTGGGCCAGCCCCTTGTAAGTTCGCCCCGGGGGCCCTGCGGCTCCCCAAGCACGCGGAGCCGGGAAACTACCCCTTCCAGCCTCCGCGCGGCAAGATACGGGCCCAGGAGCCTGGACTGAGGGAAGCAGATGTCCGGTGGGAGTTAGAGGCGGCGGGTAAAGGTCTGAGTCCCAGGAGAACTGCAGCGGGCCAGAGCCCGCAGGACATCTACCCGCAGTTGTGCGGTCCTCGCCCCGCATTTTACAGGCCTTGGGGGACTGAAGACCAGGTTGTCCTGTTAGAGGACATGTAAAGCCGTGAGACCAGCTGCGGCTTTGGGGACCATTTCAGGACGGAGTCTTGGGCCAGGGAGATAACGTTTCATAACTGGGTTTTTGAAAGTACCCGATCCGAGGCCCCTCCGTATCCCTCCATAAACAACATATTCAGAGAAACCCAGGAATGTACAGGAGGAAATAAGCACAGTTTTCTGGTATCTCCCAGAAGGTTTAAATTAAATCCAGTGGCTCCTAGTGCTGGGGAGGGGCAAAAGGAGGATGGTCGGGCGTATCGCTCGAAAGCGGGGAAACTTAGGGGTCCAGTACCCCCAGGATGTCCACCGCAGGGACTGCTTTGCCACCGAGTACACGAGTAGACGTCTCTCCAGCGAGGCAAAACTGCTCCGCCCCTCCCCATATCCCGACCCCACGACCCGCGCCCCTTGCCGTATACAGACCATAGGGCACTCTACATTGTATCCCTCCAAGCCCCGTAGATACCGAATTGGACAGGCCGTGGTCTGGCTGTCCGCGCCCGGTACAGAAAGCTCGGGAACCTGGCCATCCCCAAGCCCGCGCCTGCCCCGCGCTTTCTAGCACCATCGATGGAAGATGCCCACATTTCGCCTCCTTCTCCTCTACTTTCCCTACCAAAGTACTTACAGCCCAAAGGGATAGCTGGCCCCGATCCTCAGAATGGCCTCAGACACAAACTCGGTGCTTTCGCTCGGCTGCTAGTGTCTCCAAAGACAGCTGCGCTGCGGGGCTGCGGGCGCGAAGCGAGGGGGCAGAGGGAGGCTCTCGCCGTTCCCCTTTAACGGGAACAACGCCCTGTCTGCGTCGCTGCAATAGGGTGTGTCCCTGGGTCAGCGTGTGCAGGAGGGCGGGACTCAGGGAGGAGAGAGGGCAAAGGCGGTGGGCGGGGGTGGAGGACAGGAGACAGTTACTCGGCTTTAAATGAGCCTCAGGAGAAAGTCGATCACTGCAAAACCGCTGTGACTTTTACTCGAAACTAGGAGACGGCTGAGCTTTCTCACCTCCACTTCCCCTGACTCAGCCGAGTTCACGGAGACCACGCGTTGAACAATAAACTGGCCCCTCCGCCCCCTCAGCCCACATGGGAAAAGCCACCCAGAGGTCGCCCCCGCGGGAGCCCAGCGCTGGGCTTCGGGGGACGCACGCAAGCGAACTGAACCCACGGGGAGCGAGGCTGGATTCCTTTCATACGGTATGGGGTGGGGTGGGGAGAGCTGTCACGTCAGCGCTGGAAGACGTCTCTTTTCTCAGTGTCTTGGCGCACCTGGCCTGCCCTGGCGTCTTAGCTGGACACATTTGCACCACGCGCGCCCGCACTAGCAGTGTCTGCACCCATGCCATGTGTTGGGTTCCTAGTATTGGAGTGGACCCATCCAGCATGCCCTGCTTGGGTGAGAGTTAGGGGGCGGACGCGCAGTCCTGTCAACTATAAGACGGCGTGTCCTGGGGGTCCAGCTCCCCCTAGCCTGGGCAAGACCAGACCACAGCTGGGTATGCTCCAGGCGAAGTGTGCGTGGCTTGGCTCCCAGCCTCTTCTGGTGTCCCTGGCCACGAGGTGGGGAGCTGGCCATTTGAGGTGGAGCAAGAGCAGCCAAGGAAATCAGCTGATTCATAGCTGCCTGAACGTGGTCCGCCCAGAGTGTCTGAGAGAGAGGCTAGCCCTTCCGGGCATGGTGCAGATGCACCCAGTAAGATGCTCCCGCAGGCCAGCCTAGATGCACGAATAGGAAGTTCGAATGTGGATGTTAAACGTCGTTGCCTATGACAATACAGTTCATAAGTTCACACACATACACACACACCCCTACCTGCAAGTGTTCTGCGTCATAAAACCTCATCACTCTAAATGATTCAAATCATTCCACACTATTTTACTATTTGAAAATTGCTGCTTATTGTAGCAAATTGTACATTCACATCTTTAAGTGAAAATAAGTTATTTGAAAAGTTCTTCAAACAATGGTCTTTTAAAATTGTTATATTATCAGATTAAAAATAAGAATCCTTGTAAAAATTTTATTCGATGCCCATTATATGGCAGGCACTTTAGCAGGGCTTTACATGTGGTCTGTGAGAGGTGGTATGGTTCAATTGTTAGGCACTGTGGCTCTGCGCTCAGGCAAACCTAATTACTCTGCTTACTCAGAGCTTATGAATTTGGGCAATTAGCTGAAGTTCGCTGAGCTTCAGTTTTCTCTCTGCAAACAGAACTAATGCCTATTTTAAAGGGTGTGAACTAGTGAGCATAGTGTCTAGAATATAATAGGGACCAGAGCCCAGTAAATTGTCACCATTTCTATTATGATATCACATTTAACCTTCACAACACCTTTCAAGGCAAGCCTGACTGTCCCTGAACTCAAATAGCTTGTAATTTCCATAGGTGGAAAGCACGTATGCAAGTAGAATGACTAACTAAAGAAATGGAAGTGTTTTCTCTCCTCTCAGGGTCATTTTATAGGTCAGGTTTGCCCTAGGAATTATTGCTTTTCTTTATGCCATTCAGACTTTTATTTTACTTAACCAACATTTATGTGGTCACTATGTACCCAGTACTGTTCTAAGCACTTTACAAATATTAGCATATTTAACTCAGGATTTTCTTTGTTTTCCTTTTTTTTCCCCAAGTAAATTTTTAAATGAAGTATATACACCTAGAAAAGTGCACACATTATAAGGCACTGATCACTTCTTCCTTTCTTTTGAAACTAATATTTTAATCAATAACCAGGTCACAACCACACTGTGGGCTGAGGAATGTGTGAACCCATCTGTCCCTCCCTGTCTCTCCTATCTCCTGCCTGCTGGGCTCCCAGTGCTGGAGGATGAAATGCTGCTCAGTGCAGAGCTGCCAAGCTCGGCCACACCCAGGACTGGCCAAGGCTCCTCTACAGGTGGAAACTTCTCTCTAACCTGCTTACCAATGCGAGGTCACCTGCCAGCTGTGTGCGCAGAGCTGTTTCCCACCATGTAAAGGGCATCTGGACCCCCTGATCCCTGCAAATCTTATGTACTGGGCTTTCTAGGTCCTCTCAGATGGTCCTTCTTGCCACCCCAGCCAGAGTTTATATCCAGCTCTTAACCAAGGATTTTAAAAATTCCCTGACTCTCTAGTCAATTCCAACACAAACGCACTGTCTCCACTGCAGTCCTTTCCATTTGCGGTTTGCAGGGGGTGGGGGATTGGGCAACACGCTGTAAAGTGTAAGCACATACCACCCAGAGGCACAGTTTGCAATAAAACTCACCAGGTCAAACAGTGTAACCCCTTCCTCCACGCGGCTTTCTTTGCAGTCGAATGCAAGGGATGCAAAGGCAAGGCCCTCCCCACAGGGCAGCAGAGAGGCCAGCAGCCTGCAGACCAAGCCCTGGTGCTTCCAACCAAGCTCCCCGAGATGTTCCCTGGTGGTGCTCCCTGTCACTGAAAGCCAGAACAGGCGTCTTTCCAGTTTATTCAGGGGCTGGTCCAATGCTGGGATATGTCATGGTGGCCTGAGAACGTCTCAGCCTCTACTATTTAAAGAGACAGTGCCCAGCTTTGTGCACTTTCCAGAACACCAAGAGGCCCTGCAGGGCATGGAGAACATGAAATCAACGAGGAGAGGAGCTTTGGGTATGCTCGAAACCTGTGATGCCAAGGCTATTCTCACTGGAAGTGTCTGTGTAATAGCAAAGAGGCGTTCTGGGTTATAGATGTCCTCTCCTCACTTCCCAGTGAATTCTGCAAAGATGAAAAATACTGTATGAAGGGTCTGTGTCTCCACAGTATTGTATGTGTGTAGACAGGTTTTACGTTTAATCAACAACATCATTTTAAGTTGCTTAAACATTGCACAGATCATCTCTCATATCATCACCCCAGGGAACCAAATGTCTCAGTCACCCAATCAAGTCCACTTTAACACTGACTAGAAAAGGGCCTCTGCTGCCTTCCCTGTCTGTCTGGACCCCACCCCCTGCATCACACCGGCAGCATATTCGAATGAAACTTGGGGAAATGGATTCTTCCGGCTCTTTCATGTGCCCTTAATTGAGACATTATTAAATGTTGACCTTCATGAGTTAATTCAATTCAAGTAAACACACCTCTATTGAAAACTTTCTAACCTGTCAGGCAGGATAGCCTGGAAGAGCAATTGACAAGCTATGGAGAGGGAGACAAATGAAGGCATGGTATTCTTCAGGCTCTTTGCAGCTTATACCCACCCCTTAAAGCTCAAAAAGAGTTTTCCATCTTCTAGCGAGTTTTCCTGGGTGGAAACTCCAAGACAAGGGGACTTGATTTTATTGAATGAGTTTCCTGAAATTCTGGCAATTTCCCTACCTCTTATGTCAGGGGTCCCCAATTTAGAGTGCCCTGTAGTTTGGAGAAGTGTCCTTGGCCACAGACACTTTATGTCTTGTTGGGCTCCGCAGTCGGCAGGGGGTGGGAGGGGTGGTCCAAATGACCCTCTCTCCTGTTCTGCTCCCAGACAGCATTTCTAGCACCAATAAAATAAGTTAGCCTTTCTCCCTTTGGGTAAGTCATTTTTATTTTTCCCAACAGTGGCTCTCAGCCCTGACTGCTTGCTAGAATCACCTGAGAGCTTTGTAAATGGCCTGTCCTAGGCCCGTGCCACAAGCAGCTGCCATGCTGGTCTGGGATGGGGCTCAGGTGTGGGTAATTTATAGCATTCCCCAGGATGGTCCAGTGTCCAGCCAAATTGTCATATATTGTCAGGTGGTTCCTGGTTTCCTTCCAGCTGCCTACTGCAGTGGAGCCTAAATTGAGGCAAGACCCAGTATATGGGCTGCAATGTCCTACAAGTTATGGTTCACAGTCCTTTCCGCTAGGCAGGGGTGTGTGTGTATTTGTTATGTGGAAAGATGGGGAGGAAGGAAGGAACCTCCCTCAATCCTCTCCTGACCTGGAGGGGGGACCTGTGAGCATGGTTTTTTGGGCCTCCCCAGACAGCCCTCTTCCTGGGTGCCTGCCATGATGAGACTTTGAAGGCTGCTGCCCCTCAGGCCAAGACTAAGCCTGGGACATCTGAGAAGATGATTTCTGCTCAGAGTCAGAAGGGTGGGGCGGGTGGGGAGGAGGGCATGGAGTTTGCTTCTGGCTAGATAGGGCCAATGTGATCAGCTCTTCATCCTTCCGTGAGCTCCACGCTCCAGGACCTGCTCCTGGCCTTGTGTCTCTAATCCCCCCAGTCTTCTGCAACCAAGCCCTGGAGAACGTGCTGGCTTTGGCTGTAACACGTTTGACATATTCCTGAGGCTTCAAGACACCAGAGCTGGTCACTACTGTACTCCGCTGGCTCCATCTACCAGGTCACAACACATTTGTCTCCACCCACCCAGGCCAGGCTCTCTGCCTCCCCACAGTCAACCGAGGAAATGCCTTTTGGTTCCCTGTCTCCCCCCTTCTAATGGCCCTCTCCTCAGCAAAATGGGACCCCCACTCCAGGCATCTGTGCTGAGCAATGTATCTGTCCTCAGGGTCGTGGAGAATATCCCACTAGGCCACTTGCCATAATAATGAGTAAGATATTCACCAAATCACACTTATTATTGTTATTATTTCTTCCATCTTATAAACAGGGAAAATGAGACTTGGGTAAACTTCCTGAGGAAACCCAGTTAAGTCACATCCGATGGGCTAATTCCCACACCTGAATTTTTCTGCTTCACCATGCTACCTCATCTCATTAGCAACAAATCATCATAAGTCATTGATAAAAATGATAACAATGCAGCAATCAAGCCTCTTCCCCATCCATGATGCGTTCTCCCTAGCAAGACATGTGACCACCTGACACCCCACAAAATATTCACAACACCATCAATTTCATTCCTTGAACTGTCTTCCATGTCCCTGTGGCAACACTCCAGCTACGTATTTATGCTGTCCAACCCCCTCCCCCTCTCCCCCATCCCCACCCCCTCCCAACCAACAGCCATAAGAGGCGTGATCACTGCACTGTACACCTGAAGCTGATGTTGTATAATATTGTATGTCAACTACAAGTGAATATATATATATCATCATGGGACGTGGAGTAGTGTGGGAGTGGAGTCAAGGGAATTGTAATAGATATGTATGGTATTGGGGGGAAGGGGGGCGGCGGATTGGGGGAGGGGGTTCACTTCGAGGGGTAAAAAGTATAACTATTGCACTATGTTGTACAGCTGAAAATAATTCTAAAAAATGTGTATTTCATAATAAAAAATAATTAAAAGAAAAAATGATAACAATAATAGCTTATACAGTTAGTTGGTGCTTGCTATGCGCTAGTCACCATTCTGAATCTTTGGTATGAATCAAATCATTTAATTCTTACAACAATCTTATGAGGAGAAAATTGAGGCACAGTAAGACATTGAGTGACTTTCTCAAGACACCCCCTGAAGGAATGACAGAGGCCAGATTCAAACCAGACAGTCTGGCTGCAGAGCCTGAACTCCATCGCCTGTGCTGTTTTGCCTCTTGCCGTGCTCCTAACTGTGTCTGGCAGTCATAACACATCCATACCTTTTTCACGCTACTTCCATAGACACTATACAATCTAATTTCCTTGTTCACCAAAGATCCTGACACATTATACCTATTCCCAGATTCACGTTTCTTTTTCCGTTAATGAACCCAGAAAATGTCCTAAATCCTCCACCCATTGTACCAGCCCTGTGAGCCCCCCTATTAAACGTCCTGCCTTATCCCACCTGATGAGTCCTCTGTGCCACTCACTTGGGCAGCACCAGTGCCAGGTGGATCCTGTACAGTGCTGATGGTTTCATTTCATTAGGCTGTCACCGTTGTCCCTGGGGAGTGGAATCCAAGCAGACTCCAGAAGAGGAAGGCAGATCTTTTTTTCTCTACTGACAACCACTAAAATGCTGTTTATGTAGCATCTTAATCATAAGGGAAACATTATGACCATTTTCTATGTGGAGTAACTGAGGCTTGGAGAATTTACAATGTTCCCTCCAAGGACCAGCGAGTATATGCCAGGGATGTTCCTCTGATCTCCAAACCTGTGGTTTTTCCCTTATGCAGACTCACCACTCCGAAAATAGAGGTGAGTCCCAATTGGGCTTTTGTCCAGTTGACGAAGTTGTCATTGGAGCAACAGTCTCACCGGGCATTTGGTCAGTATCTGGGGAGTGTTTACACCACGAATGAAGCTTTTCCTGTTTCGTCACGTCCAGCAGCCTGTGTGGGTGTTCTTGGCGAGGCAGGGCCACAGCTGGTCTGAAGGTCCTCAAACATCAGGTTATTGCCTCATCTAGTGTCATCTAGACTCTTCTGATCTCCAGTGAGAGCAGCTGGTTACTAGAAGAACATGTAAATGGAGAAAAGAAGGCAAAGAGGAAGGAGGGGAGGGAGGGAGAGAAGGAGGGAGGAAAAAGAGAAAGAGAGGGAAGGGGAGAAGATAGAAAGGAAGGAACAGAAGGAGCCAGATTAACTTCCAAGAGCAGATCCTTCTATAAATAGACACGTTTGACATTATGTCATCTCCACGTCCCTAGAAGGTGTTCTCAGTGAACTACACAGAAGCGGAGAGAGGGTGGCTAACAACACACAAACAGGTTGGCACACAGCTGCTCCCTAAATTACATAAATTTACAAATTTATCTTGGGATAAATTGCATCTTTCACCCCCTCACCTGTGGGAGAGAACAAGCACAGAACGATTATGTTGTGCCATGGGAACAATACAAAGTACAGAGAACTCTTTGTTTCCAAATGCACTGTTGCTTAGGACAGCCAGATTCCATAGATGCAAATTGAGGGGGAGAAAGCGGTCCTTTCTCTGACATCTCATGAGCTAACAGAGAAAGGATTTGGGAGCAATTTAAGCAAGAGACTGATTTGCACTTGGGACTGAAAGCTCTGAAAGTCTTCTAAGACTCTTCCTCCTAAGAGATATTTTTCTGCTCTAGCTGGGGATAGGCTCACTGAGGTGGAGAATGTGAGCTATCCGGCCACATAGCAATGGATGGAATAAGAGAGGAATGAGTGGATTTTCCTAGGCCCCGGAGACTAGGCATAACAATGGTGCTAAGGCAGCCTGGGCTTGATGTGGAAATTCCCACAATGCCGTGGTTCCCTTTACTGGGGGAGGAGGACAGGAAAGGCTGCTATAAGCCAAGGGAATGCTTGATTCAGGCAGATGAGGCCACGCCAAGCCGTGTAACATTAATCTCCTGCAAAAAGAAGGAGGCACCCACGAACCATCCTGGAAGGTATCTGGCAGAACAATTCCCACGATGCACCGTTGTCCCCAGGATCCCTTTTCTGCGCGTGCCTCTGAGCTGGAGAAACAGCAGTTACACTTAAAATGAACTTGAGAACAGTTGTTTTCTTCATCTCTGAGTCCCTGAACTACTTATCAAGTGTGAAACTTCAGCTAACGCCAGGGAAGTTTATGGACAAAGGTCAAATCCTTTTGAGAGGTTCAAGGCAACACTGGACAAAGTGTCAAG